TAGAATCCCTTCTTTGCCTCTTTGTATGTGTGTGTCTGGCCAGTGGGTCTCAGCCCCAGACAAGTTCACTATGGATTCAACAGACCAAAGAAATGACAGTAGAATGGTCTTGGGGCGAAAGGGTTATATCCAACTTTATTCCCACAGTGGTAGGTCAATCACTAGAATCCCGTCCATTTGGTTGCATGCAGCGAGCTGGTTTCTGCCTCTGGGCCTCTTTACACCGCAGCCGTCTCAGTCTCTGTCCTCCACGCTACCACCACTCCAGCCTCTGCTCTGCTCTCCTGCAGCCTTGCAGCCATGCCACTGTGTCACCCAGAGAACTGGGCAGAGCTCTTAGATAGAGTCAATAGCAATGTATTGCCCACAGGTGTGTAGTGAGCTAGCCAACGAGGGCCAGGTAAGAATACTGGCCACAGGAACCTTCATTTTATCCACAGTGTGTAAACTTGGATATGTACTTACCTTATATGTTTGAGCTTTTGTAAAAAGGGAATACTTACCTTAATTTATGAAAATCAACTTAATATAAAGTATCCAGAACAGTAGGCAGCAAAGCACACGGGAGGTCTTCATGAAGTATCTTCTTACTTCCCTGATCTTTCCCCACAGTAGTCTACCTTGTACACTGTATCAAAATTGTGCTTTTAAATAATAAGTCTAATTGGGTCACTCATTGGCTTAAAGATACCCAGTACTTCTTATTGCCTTTAGGCAGAAATCTGAACAGTTTAGCCTGGGCTAGATGTTTCACAATCTGGTCTAAATCACCTTACTTGCTTCCACTCACTCAGAGCAGGAAGTTAGGAAGCTCCTAGACCATTGCATTTGTCTAATCTTTTCTAGCACAGTATATGGCTGAACCCACGGCAGATACTAATTAAAAATTTGATGGCTAGATACGTGCACAGAGACAGGGACAAATCCATAAACACATGAATAAATAAATTTATAGGAAGACAATATTTTTAAATACCTCTTCCTCAGATTCTGAAATTGTTTAAAGATCTGAATTTACAAGCATCCATAGAAGCTGATCATTCTTACACAGGCATTATTCCCATCTCCCAAATGTTCTGGCTTCTATCGAGAGAAAACTCTTTCCTCTGTAGACAGAGTATATGACTTGACTTCAATTGTAAATGAAACTGTGCTAGGATGGAATGAATCTATAAGCATTTACTGAGCAGCTTTCAAGTGCTAAGCTCACTGCAGTCCAAGACCTTTTAGAGAATGCACACAGTAATATGGGACACGGAGGTTAAAGAACTAGCTAGAAAAGGGGACTGTTGTGTCATAGTTGTTAAGGTTATCCAGGTGGTCACATTGGGGTTCAGGTAAATCTTCACACAGGAAGAGGAGCCTGGCTGAGTTCTGAACGTTGAGAATGTGAATGTAAGTAGATCATTTAAACTATGGTCAGGTAGAAAAGAAGGGCCTTCAAGTAAGAAGAAAAAGCATGCCAATGACAGAGAAGTAAGGAAGAGCATGCACCAAGGGTGTTCACTGTGGCTGCGGTAGTCTGGAGAACATTCGGATGAAAGATACATTTCAGAATAAATTAGGAAAAACCAGGTTGCAGAATTTGTGGAAACAAAAATGAAAGAGGGATAAGAGAATGCAGGGAACTCTCCAGGTGATCTTTCTTCCCTGTGGCCTTTAACTACTACCTATTTGCATATGACTCTTAAATTTATACTTGCAGCCATGATTACTCTCCCAGGTTCCAGCTCAACAGCTTCACACCTCACACCCAGTTATCTCCTTACCTGAACTCAACCTCCTTGCCCCAAATCTGTAATTCCCAGAGGGTTATATGTATCTTCATCCACCTGGTAGCTTATGCCAGACACCTGAGCTCTCGTAGATATATTCCTCTCATTTCTATTTCTAGTTAATTGACAGGTCCTGTCAATTCCACCAGCTTAATTCAGTCCTCTACCGTCTTTCATTAGACCATGCCAAGGCATTGCTAATGTTTTCTCATCCACTATGAACCCCTCCAACCCATTCTCCACCTGTGCAACAGAATGATCTCAAAATAGTGTTTCTCAAACTGTAGCCCAATTCCTTGGTTAAAAAAAAAAAAGAAAGAATTCCCAATCTGGGGGACTGAACAGAATCCTTGGGGGGGGGTTCCTCAGAGCCCAGGAATCTGTATTTGAATAAGCCCATCTCCACTCTCTTTTTGCCATCAACCTTTAAGAACCACCCGTATGTCAGGCAGAGTAGCCTAGAGGTTAACAGTGGACATACCCTGAGTCTGAATGCACAGGTTTGACTTCTAGCTGTGTATCCTGGGGCAAATAACTTCTCTGTACTCCTGTCTCACACGGGACGACCAAGATAATAGTGAACTAAAACATGAGTCAAAACATAAGTAGTGGCTTTTACTGTTTCTCACCAATGTTTCTGGTTCTCTTTCACTTCCTAGCACATGGGAAGATTGTATTTCACCATTTACATGAAGTTAAAAGTGCTCACACAACTCCCTTAGACCAATAAAATGCAAGTGGAAGTAATGTGTCACTTCTGAAGAAAGCCAGAGGAGATGATTCCCCATGTTCTCTCTTCTCTTCTCATGGCAATGACGGAATTACATGTTAATATGGAAGTATCCGGGGCAGAAGCAGCTGGAAAAATGATCCAAGACTTGGAGGACAGCTACCCATGCTCTCTTGTGTGAACAAGAAATACATGTATATTGGTCTAAGCTCTTGAGATGTTAGGAAGTTTTGTTACCACAGCAGAGCCTAGCCCAACCTAACTGGTACAAATGTAAGGCCCTTCGAGGAGGTCTGGCCAATAGTAACTGCTCAATGGCAGCTTCAGAAGAGACGATCAGCAACATGGCTCAGTAGAAGAGCAGTTCTCCCTCCACTGTCTTAAAACATGTCCTGATCATGTCACTCCTCTGCTGAAACCCCTCAATTGTTTCTCAAGGAATTTACAATTAAATTCAAATCACTAAGCTGGTGCACATAGTCTACATTGCTTTGGGGGCTCCAGCCTTAACTTACTCACTCTTTGATTTAGTCTCTTGTCACACTGGCCTTCTTTTAGTTCCTTGAAAATGACAAGCACCTTCCTGAAAAAGGGCCTTTGTATCTGATAAGATTCTGTACTTCCGTTTTCTTCCCATGCCTTTTCTCATCTTCATGTCTCAACTTAAACGTCAGCACCTCCGAGAGGCCTTCTCTGTCCCCCTGTTGGAAGCAGATCCTCCTTTATACTCTCTTCATATTCCTGTGTCAGCACTTGTCCTGTGTCTTTCATACTATTCATCACAATTTGAAATGAATTTTGCTTATTTGTTCGCCCATTTCCATCTTTCTCCAGCACTAAACAAGTTCTACGAGGACAAGCCCACATCTCTCTTGTTCATGGTTTCATCCTCAGACTAAAACAACTCCTGGCACACAGCGTGATTAGGAATGGAAAGATGGGGTGGGGCCGAGGAGGCAGAAAAGAAGGTGAGAGGGAGAGTTTGTCCTGGAATTAAACTGAGGCCCTTCTGAATAGAAAATACCACCTAAAATTCCCAAAGGAAATTGAGAGTTTCTAACAAAAGTGATGGAAATTCTGAAGACTAATGTCTTTTTTATGAAATGATGTTTATTATTTTCAGAAATGGTGCAAACTATAAGTTATGTGTGTTCCTGCCAAAATAGGTAAGTCAATAAAAATGCAATTCAAAATCAGCTTTTATTACAAGGTAATGTACTGTAAACACAAAAGTCCAGAATCTGAGTTACACCTTTTATTTTCACTCAATAAAAATCTGATATACTGGGTCCAAGTATATCAGATGACACATTCCAAACTAATGGAACTTCCCTGTAGCTTAAATAAACAAATTTAAATCACTGAGTAAAAATAAAAGACAAGTGTATTTGCACATCTCAAGAATGAAATGAATGGATTAGAACCTCCAGTGGTTTATACTTCACCATTTACAACAAACTAAGCATCTTCTGAATGACACAGTGTTGGACTGTGCATTTCCAAGGTCCAAACACTAAAACACACAGAATAGCCTTCTCTCTACTCACTGTTGAAAGACTAAGAAATCTGAGATACAAAGGAATGAGGCAACCAATGCCTCACCCCAGTCATTTAAGGAGGAGTTCTCTCAGGTGATCCTGGGTCAGGCCAGCCTGGGCAACCTCATGCAAGCTTTCCTCCTCATCAGTCCTGCTTTCTGCACGTGGAATCAAATGCTGTAACTAAAAGGGAACCACTCTTGGTTATTTGCTCACTGTCTTCTTTCATTTCCTGAAAAGTCACCAAAAGACTCTCTCTGTCTGGATCCCCAAAGGCTCACAGGTAGACCCTACTTGTTTGAATCCTTTGGCTGGAAAGGTCTTAAACCAGATCTGTGTGCTGAGGGCAACCAAAGAAGGTCAGAAGACCTTCCTGATCCAGGAATAATCTAGCTTCTAGTTACAAATGACCGCATCTCTACTTTTAAATCTTAGTGGTTAGTAAGGAGAAACTACAGGAAAAGGAGCATACATGATTAAGCGGATGATTCTCTTTCATCTCTGTTTTCAATAAGCAAAGAGTAGAACCCAAATCTTTCTCACATATCTAGACTTTTCCTTTGTGAGCAAAAGACAAATCATAGTTTCGGGGCTGTAGTCTATTAGATTCAACCTCATTTTCTCTCTGCCTTCTAGATTTTTTCAGGTTTTCTTAATACCAGAAGATAGATGGGCTCCTCAGTCCACCATTGGTAAACATTTACTTAGCATTGGTCTTACATTTTCACTGCCATTCTTCTCTGGTGGGTTATAAATGTGTGACAAAATTCTACCAGTGTCTTATGCCCAAGTCAAGTGCTTCTTCTGTTAAGCTTCCTACTACACTTCGAATGAATGAATGAATGAAAGTTGAGTGCCTGTCTAAAGGACACCATGTTGTTTTTTCTGGTTGAAACACAACTAAGACAACAAAAGTTTAATGTGATACTAAGAAATGCAGTAGAAAGAATGCACATACATTGTTTTAAAATTTTATTTGCTCACAAGAGAGAATGAAAACAGGTTTGCAAAAACTTATCTGCATGTACAAAGTAATCCATGTAGATAAGGAGGGCAAGCCTTGGAATACTTGGACTTCTGGATAAATCATTCATCAAAATTGGATCTCTTTGCATGAGAACTGGTGGAAAGTTGTTCTTTTATAATGAAAAACAACTGAAAAAGTAAGTCTATTTCTAAAATCACCAACCTAAGAAAGGTTATATTCTAACACATATTCTTTGATACCAGTGAAACCAGTTACCAAGTGATCTCAGAGTTGAACAGATTAATTAAGCAAGAGGTAGTTTCTCCATTAATATCCCTTTTTCTTTTCAGCAAGGCTATAAGGAAAAGGGATACATTGCATAATCTTTGAATCTCTGAATTCCTCTTCTGCTAGGATCCCATTTCCCTTGAATACAATCATATCTGTCTTGTTTCCTTTCAGGACTTGAGATCATCTAACAGAAAAGATTACATAGGTCAGATTTTTTTGCCAGTTTTCCTTTGATCACTCTTCTCTGGAAAAACAAATAATCTGGTGGGCCATTAAAATGACAATGAGAAATCAATCCTATGGTGGCACAGATTAAGGGGCTTTTTTAAAAAATATAATTTCTTGTTAATAATAACAATAATAACAATATCCAAGCAAAAGATTTAGGCTGATGAAACAAGCCCCCAAAAGGTAGCATACAAACCACATAGTGACATTCTTCTTGACTGAGCCTCCCTAAGAGTTCTTATAGGTGGTCTCCAAATGTCTTCTGAGGCTATTAGATCCCAGAGCCCCACAGCTCCATGGCTTCTAGCTCGTCTTGCACAGGGGTGAATTCTGGCTGATCAGGATGGGGAGCTAGAGAGGAAGAGTGGGGTGGGGACTTGATGGGACCCAGGAACCATAGGTTGATATTCTTCCTTCATATGGGTCCATAGAGACTTAGATTTGGTCATTAAACTACAGAGATATCCTGCTTGGGTAAAAAGCAGTTAGCAACCTTTACCCACCATGCGGCTTGCACCTTCCCCGTGAGGTTTCAGGGGTTAGTAAAAGAAGGAAGGGACAGATACATTGCAGAAATTGTTAGAAAACTAGAATCACAGCCAATTGCTTATATATTATGTGTTTTATTTACAAAAGGAACCCTGAAAACTCAGCAACATTATTAAAGAAAAATAAATGTTTAAAACTGATCTCATGTTATTAGTCCATCACCAGCAATAGTAGGGAAGTGAAGGGATCAGAGGAAGAATAGAGAGTAGGGTGATCAGGGAGAAAGATGCCATCAATCTTGTGTGGCGACAGGAAAGAGGAATGATTACTGTGCCTTCACATAGGGAAGATTGGGATGAATTATTGGCACATCATCATATACCTATATCCAGACTGACATGGAGCAGTCAGTTTGTACTACAACTGACATGTGTGATTTGGTTAAGTCCTGGTATTATCCTTGCATGTATCTGGAGCAAGGAGGGTGAGAGATGTGGCAGTGGGTAGGTGGGGAAGCAAGTGAGGCAGGGAAGCAGAGTGCCCGTTGTTAGGGGCAGGGGCTGGGGGAGGGGTGGTAACAGGACAGTTCTGTATCTGCAGCCAATTGCCCAGGCCAATATAAGCAGAGTGGAGGGGCTCCACTTCAGTGCTGGTAATCATTGTAAGGGATCACATCTTAATAAGAGACAGGGAGATTTAGGAGAACAGGGAGGGAAGAGATGAACAGAGAAAAACACATCAGCAAAACTTTGACCAGTTCCTCTGGCAAATAAGGTTAAATTTCCCCTAAGGCAGAAAATTGTAATTCTTTGACTAATAAGTTCACTGCCCCAAAGCAGCCTCTCAACTTCTCTGTTGATGCTTCCAAGACTCACTATGTCAGAAAACGTCCATTGCCCAACACGCCCGCATGCAGACCGCAGATGTTTTTAGGAAGCGTAATCTCTTTAGAATCTCAGTCCAGTGGTTAGTAATGAGGCAAGGATAGCTTGGCCACTTTTGTTCCTTCTTAAAACAATCTTTGGTCACTTAAAATGCATGTGGTGGGCAGGATTACACCCAGAAGAATCTAGGGGGCCCTCCTAATTACCGGGAAGTTCTGAGTCTGAGGTTTCCCAAAGCAAGAGTGCAAATTACAGGGCATCCTGGCCACACCACAGAAGTAACATCGAATGAGGGGCCCAAACGAATGTTCAAATATGTCCCTCAGTGACCAAAGGTCATTGGCCAAAGGTCACCATTTGGAAACAGAGAGACTTAGACATGTTGTTATTTTCAATTTCCTCTTACGGTTCTTAAAGGGGTAGCCTCTACAGTAATTTGCACTTCATAGAAGATGTCTCTGGATAATTTAAGCTAGTGAGGTGCTCAAGTTCCGCTTCCTTCCCACAATCAGCCACGTTTCACAGCACCCTCACCATTATGGTACTAACCATGGCAGAATATCGCTCAAAACCCAAGAGAGACTGGCACTTACCTCCAACGCCGTAGGCAGAACACGAAGAGGGGTCGCAATATCCAGGCTGGCCAGAAGGACCTTGTGGTCCAGGGACCCCCAGGTGACCTGGTGGACCCCTTGGTCCGGGGGATCCCGGAGGCCCAGGGCTTCCTGGCCGACTCTCCCCTGAAGGTCCTAAGAAGCACCCACAAATGAAAACAGTTGGTTTCCTTCTGCATCAGAGTGAGTTCTGAGACTACTGAGAAGTAAATTAACTTTCAAAAGAAGCCACCTCACACATCTTAGGCAATAGCATCATCTGCCTCTCTCTGTATCCATTGAGTTCTTACTCCTAAACTGGATTCCCCAAGTAGAGAATCACATTGTAATCAGACATACTCCTGGAGGTCAATGCTTTTAATCAGCTCAGGAAACAAGAAAGCAAAAGGTATTCTTTTTTATCACCTCTTAGATATTAAAGGAAAGGCGCATATCACTCTCAACCTTGTTTTCTTTATGGGGCTTCCATTTCCCAGTGCAGTTCCTGATGAATCCAATATATGGACGTGCACATGCACACAAGTACACACTCACACACAAACACACACACAGTCAATCTCAACCTCATGACCTGTACTGGCTTATGGCCCCAGATAGTTGAAATAAATTAGTCTGAGTCTGAAAGAAATGACTCTACAGAAGAAAAAGGAAAAGTCTGAAATTGGACCCAAAATATTAATCCAAACTGTCTTGATGCTAACTTATAGCAACTGAGAGCTTAGATGGAGTGCAAATGGGAGGGGGATTAAAATATTCTTGAATTTAAGAAGTTTGTCAGGCTGGGTTATGTTGGGTTTATGCTCATTTGTTCCACTGTTTCCAACAGGGTTTAAAAGGTATTCTTCAAACAGGAATGAAATTCTTCAAGTAGATCCTAAATGAAAATTAGGAACAAGTATCACTTTCTGTCTGAAAAGTGTTGTGGCTCTCAGATACATTCAGTTCCATTCAGTCAACAGGAGTATTTATACTCAGAGTGAATCTTCTGCATTAGGAATCTCTCCTAGAGAAATTATTTTCCAAAATGACTAGGTTGGAGAGAAAAATCTGTAAACACTTGATTCAATGCAGCTAAGACAGGGATTGTAAATACCCAATAGGATTGCAAATTTATAATTCTGAGAGACCATTCTGAAAGCAGAGCAATATACACAGAACTCAAAACTTACACAAAATTCATTCAGTAAGACTATCATGGTGGCAGAAACTGGGTGCTCATCAAATATCCATGTGTTCCCCTAGATTTGGAGCAGTTCAGTGGGAACTGAGAAACTAGTTCCAGCCAGTGAAACATGAGCTGAATTGACATATGTCATTCTCCATTTAGGAAGATGAAAGCTGATGTGCCTTCCTTATCTTTCTCCTGGAGGCTTTTTCCCAAATGGATGAAAGCAACCTTAATCATATCAAACTTTGGGTGAGTGTGAAATAAACCTTTAATGTGTCAATCCACTAAGCATTTGAGATTGACTTCTTACTGCAGCACAGCCTAGCCTAGCCTAACCTAACTCATGCAACCAATAAAGATCCCAGAATGTGCTATAACTTTTGGGGCTTGTATATTGGGAGGATCATTACAAACAAACTGGCCTTTCAATAAAGTAAATGAGAAATACAGCTATTCTAGTTAGGTACGAATGTAGTATGGCCATTTTCCTCACCTGTGATGTCAGTGATTATTATAAACATTTGGGATTTCTGTCTTGCAATTTCCTGTTAGGTAGGAAGATTTACCTGCTGGCCCTGGGGGGCCTCTTGGGCCTTGGGTTCCAGTGCCTGGATTTCCTTTTTCTCCCTTGACACCAGTTAGACCTGTTTTAAAAAAGAAAAGAAAACAAAAAGTTCTCATTGAAATGAAATCTGGGTAGTTCTATTTTTCTGGGTTTCAAAACCTCTGATGAGGATAATGATGCAGGTAGGTTTGGGGTTATGGTTACCACGGGACTTTTAAATTAGATTCAGACACTGGTGACTTATGGACAATCCCATAGGAGGCTAGTTGTGCATCTGAGCATGTTGTCTGTATTTGCAGTACCACCAGTTATCTCCTCCTTCCTAACGAAGTGGTTCAGCCTACCAGGTACCGGCCTGTGTCTTTGCACACACCAGGCCTTTCGACGTATGCAGTTGGCACTCTACAAGTAACACAATAGAAATCACAAGTGAACATGCCTAATATTTTCCTTTTGGTCCACCCTGTAATGTATCTGCAAAAGGCATGAATTATAATTAGGCAGCAAAGTTCTGAAGAGCGTGAGTTTCCATTAAAAACTTGGAAGCTTCAAGAAAGCCTGTGTTTGATTTGGCTGATTCAGCCCCATAAAAATCTAAATCTATTCATGTTTCTTTTCCACTGAGCAGACATTTTATTCCAAATAATTTACAGTGCTATTAATAAACTATACATACATTTCACAGGCAAAAAACAAAGAAACATATACTCTGACACCTCACTGTCCAAATGGGTTCTCAAATCACTAAGCTGGTGCACATAGTCTACATTGCTTTGGGGGCTCCAGCCTTAACTTACTCACTCTTTGATTTAGTCTCTTGTCACACTGGCCTTCTTTTAGTTCCTTGAAAATGACAAGCACCTTCCTGAAAAAGGGCCTTTGTATTTGACAAGATTCTGTACTTCCGTTTTCTTCCCATGCCTTTTCTCATCTTCATGTCTCAACTTAAACGTCAGCACCTCCGAGAGGCCTTCTCTGTCCCCCTGTTGGAAGCAGATCCTCCTTTATACTCTCTTCATATTCCTGTGTCAGCACTTGTCCTGTGTCTTTCATACTATTCATCACAATTTGAAATGAATTTTGCTTATTTGTTCGCCCATTTCCATCTTTCTCCAGCACTAAACAAGTTCTACGAGGACAAGCCCACATCTCTCTTGTTCATGGTTTCATCCTCAGACTAAAACAACTCCTGGCACACAGCGTGATTAGGAATGGAAAGATGGGGTGGGGCCGAGGAGGCAGAAAAGAAGGTGAGAGGGAGAGTTTGTCCTGGAATTAAACTGAGGCCCTTCTGAATAGAAAATACCACCTAAAATTCCCAAAGGAAATTGAGAGTTTCTAACAAAAGTGATGGAAATTCTGAAGACTAATGTCTTTTTTATGAAATGATGTTTATTATTTTCAGAAATGGTGCAAACTATAAGTTATGTGTGTTCCTGCCAAAATAGGTAAGTCAATAAAAATGCAATTCAAAATCAGCTTTTATTACAAGGTAATGTACTGTAAACACAAAAGTCCAGAATCTGAGTTACACCTTTTATTTTCACTCAATAAAAATCTGATATACTGGGTCCAAGTATATCAGATGACACATTCCAAACTAATGGAACTTCCCTGTAGCTTAAATAAACAAATTTAAATCACTGAGTAAAAATAAAAGACAAGTGTATTTGCACATCTCAAGAATGAAATGAATGGATTAGAACCTCCAGTGGTTTATACTTCACCATTTACAACAAACTAAGCATCTTCTGAATGACACAGTGTTGGACTGTGCATTTCCAAGGTCCAAACACTAAAACATACAGAATATCCTTCTCTCTACTCACTGTTGAAAGACTAAGAAATCTGAGATACAAAGGAATGAGGCAACCAATACCTCACCCCAGTCATTTAAGGAGGAGTTCTCTCAGGTGATCCTGGGTCAGGCCAGCCTGGGCAACCTCATGCAAGCTTTCCTCCTCATCAGTCCTGCTTTCTGCACGTGGAATCAAATGCTGTAACTAAAAGGGAACCACTCTTGGTTATTTGCTCACTGTCTTCTTTCATTTACTGAAAAGTCACCAAAAGACTCTCTCTGTCTGGATCCCCAAAGGCTCACAGGTAGACCCTACTTGTTTGAATCCTTTGGCTGGAAAGGTCTTAAACCAGATCTGTGTGCTGAGGGCAACCAAAGAAGGTCAGAAGACCTTCCTGATCCAGGAATAATCTAGCTTCTAGTTACAAATGACCGCATCTCTACTTTTAAATCTTAGTGGTTAGTAAGGAGAAACTACAGGAAAAGGAGCATACATGATTAAGCGGATGATTCTCTTTCATCTCTGTTTTCAATAAGCAAAGAGTAGAACCCAAATCTTTCTCACATATCTAGACTTTTCCTTTGTGAGCAAAAGACAAATCATAGTTTCGGGGCTGTAGTCTATTAGATTCAACCTCATTTTCTCTCTGCCTTCTAGATTTTTTCAGGTTTTCTTAATACCAGAAGATAGATGGGCTCCTCAGTCCACCATTGGTAAACATTTACTTAGCATTGGTCTTACATTTTCACTGCCATTCTTCTCTGGTGGGTTATAAATGTGTGACAAAATTCTACCAGTGTCTTATGCCCAAGTCAAGTGCTTCTTCTGTTAAGCTTCCTACTACACTTCGAATGAATGAATGAATGAAAGTTGAGTGCCTGTCTAAAGGACACCATGTTGTTTTTTCTGGTTGAAACACAACTAAGACAACAAAAGTTTAATGTGATACTAAGAAATGCAGTAGAAAGAATGCACATACATTGTTTTAAAATTTTATTTGCTCACAAGAGAGAATGAAAACAGGTTTGCAAAAACTTATCTGCATGTACAAAGTAATCCATGTAGATAAGGAGGGCAAGCCTTGGAATACTTGGACTTCTGGATAAATCATTCATCAAAATTGGATCTCTTTGCATGAGAACTGGTGGAAAGTTGTTCTTTTATAATGAAAAACAACTGAAAAAGTAAGTCTATTTCTAAAATCACCAACCTAAGAAAGGTTATATTCTAACACATATTCTTTGATACCAGTGAAACCAGTTACCAAGTGATCTCAGAGTTGAACAGATTAATTAAGCAAGAGGTAGTTTCTCCATTAATATCCCTTTTTCTTTTCAGCAAGGCTATAAGGAAAAGGGATACATTGCATAATCTTTGAATCTCTGAATTCCTCTTCTGCTAGGATCCCATTTCCCTTGAATACAATCATATCTGTCTTGTTTCCTTTCAGGACTTGAGATCATCTAACAGAAAAGATTACATAGGTCAGATTTTTTTGCCAGTTTTCCTTTGATCACTCTTCTCTGGAAAAACAAATAATCTGGTGGGCCATTAAAATGACAATGAGAAATCAATCCTATGGTGGCACAGATTAAGGGGCTTTTTTAAAAAATATAATTTCTTGTTAATAATAACAATAATAACAATATCCAAGCAAAAGATTTAGGCTGATGAAACAAGCCCCCAAAAGGTAGCATACAAACCACATAGTGACATTCTTCTTGACTGAGCCTCCCTAAGAGTTCTTATAGGTGGTCTCCAAATGTCTTCTGAGGCTATTAGATCCCAGAGCCCCACAGCTCCATGGCTTCTAGCTCGTCTTGCACAGGGGTGAATTCTGGCTGATCAGGATGGGGAGCTAGAGAGGAAGAGTGGGGTGGGGACTTGATGGGACCCAGGAACCATAGGTTGATATTCTTCCTTCATATGGGTCCATAGAGACTTAGATTTGGTCATTAAACTACAGAGATATCCTGCTTGGGTAAAAAGCAGTTAGCAACCTTTACCCACCATGCGGCTTGCACCTTCCCCGTGAGGTTTCAGGGGTTAGTAAAAGAAGGAAGGGACAGATACATTGCAGAAATTGTTAGAAAACTAGAATCACAGCCAATTGCTTATATATTATGTGTTTTATTTACAAAAGGAACCCTGAAAACTCAGCAACATTATTAAAGAAAAATAAATGTTTAAAACTGATCTCATGTTATTAGTCCATCACCAGCAATAGTAGGGAAGTGAAGGGATCAGAGGAAGAATAGAGAGTAGGGTGATCAGGGAGAAAGATGCCATCAATCTTGTGTGGCGACAGGAAAGAGGAATGATTACTGTGCCTTCACATAGGGAAGATTGGGATGAATTATTGGCACATCATCATATACCTATATCCAGACTGACATGGAGCAGTCAGTTTGTACTACAACTGACATGTGTGATTTGGTTAAGTCCTGGTATTATCCTTGCATGTATCTGGAGCAAGGAGGGTGAGAGATGTGGCAGTGGGTAGGTGGGGAAGCAAGTGAGGCAGGGAAGCAGAGTGCCCGTTGTTAGGGGCAGGGGCTGGGGGAGGGGTGGTAACAGGACAGTTCTGTATCTGCAGCCAATTGCCCAGGCCAATATAAGCAGAGTGGAGGGGCTCCACTTCAGTGCTGGTAATCATTGTAAGGGATCACATCTTAATAAGAGACAGGGAGATTTAGGAGAACAGGGAGGGAAGAGATGAACAGAGAAAAACACATCAGCAAAACTTTGACCAGTTCCTCTGGCAAATAAGGTTAAATTTCCCCTAAGGCAGAAAATTGTAATTCTTTGACTAATAAGTTCACTGCCCCAAAGCAGCCTCTCAACTTCTCTGTTGATGCTTCCAAGACTCACTATGTCAGAAAACGTCCATTGCCCAACACGCCCGCATGCAGACCGCAGATGTTTTTAGGAAGCGTAATCTCTTTAGAATCTCAGTCCAGTGGTTAGTAATGAGGCAAGGATAGCTTGGCCACTTTTGTTCCTTCTTAAAACAATCTTTGGTCACTTAAAATGCATGTGGTGGGCAGGATTACACCCAGAAGAATCTAGGGGGCCCTCCTAATTACCGGGAAGTTCTGAGTCTGAGGTTTCCCAAAGCAAGAGTGCAAATTACAGGGCATCCTGGCCACACCACAGAAGTAACATCGAATGAGGGGCCCAAACGAATGTTCAAATATGTCCCTCAGTGACCAAAGGTCATTGGCCAAAGGTCACCATTTGGAAACAGACTTAGACATATTGTTATTTTCAATTTCCTCTTACGGTTCTTAAAGGGGTAGCCTCTACAGTAATTTGCACTTCATAGAAGATGTCTCTGGATAATTTAAGCTAGTGAGGTGCTCAAGTTCCGCTTCCTTCCCACAATCAGCCACGTTTCACAGCACCCTCACCATTATGGTACTAACCATGGCAGAATATCGCTCAAAACCCAAGAGAGACTGGCACTTACCTCCAACGCCGTAGGCAGAACACGAAGAGGGGTCGCAATATCCAGGCTGGCCAGAAGGACCTTGTGGTCCAGGGACCCCCAGGTGACCTGGTGGACCCCTTGGTCCGGGGGATCCCGGAGGCCCAGGGCTTCCTGGCCGACTCTCCCCTGAAGGTCCTAAGAAGCACCCACAAATGAAAACAGTTGGTTTCCTTCTGCATCAGAGTGAGTTCTGAGACTACTGAGAAGTAAATTAACTTTCAAAAGAAGCCACCTCACACATCTTAGGCAATAGCATCATCTGCCTCTCTCTGTATCCATTGAGTTCTTACTCCTAAACTGGATTCCCCAAGTAGAGAATCACATTGTAATCAGACATACTCCTGGAGGTCAATGCTTTTAATCAGCTCAGGAAACAAGAAAGCAAAAGGTATTCTTTTTTATCACCTCTTAGATATTAAAGGAAAGGCGCATATCACTCTCAACCTTGTTTTCTTTATGGGGCTTCCATTTCCCAGTGCAGTTCCTGATGAATCCAATATATGGACGTGCACATGCACACAAGTACACACTCACACACAAACACACACACAGTCAATCTCAACCTCATGACCTGTACTGGCTTATGGCCCCAGATAGTTGAAATAAATTAGTCTGAGTCTGAAAGAAATGACTCTACAGAAGAAAAAGGAAAAGTCTGAAATTGGACCCAAAATATTAATCCAAACTGTCTTGATGCTAACTTATAGCAACTGAGAGCTTAGATGGAGTGCAAATGGGAGGGGGATTAAAATATTCTTGAATTTAAGAAGTTTGTCAGGCTGGGTTATGTTGGGTTTATGCTCATTTGTTCCACTGTTTCCAACAGGGTTTAAAAGGTATTCTTCAAACAGGAATGAAATTCTTCAAGTAGATCGTAAATGAAAATTAGGAACAAGTATCACTTTCTGTCTGAAAAGTGTTGTGGCTCTCAGATACATTCAGTTCCATTCAGTCAACAGGAGTATTTATACTCAGAGTGAATCTTCTGCATTAGGAATCTCTCCTAGAGAAATTATTTTCCAAAATGACTAGGTTGGAGAGAAAAATCTGTAAACACTTGATTCAATGCAGCTAAGACAGGGATTGTAAATACCCAATAGGATTGCAAATTTATAATTCTGAGAGACCATTCTGAAAGCAGAGCAATATACACAGAACTCAAAACTTACACAAAATTCATTCAGTAAGACTATCATGGTGGCAGAAACTGGGTGCTCATCAAATATCCATGTGTTCCCCTAGATTTGGAGCAGTTCAGTGGGAACTGAGAAACTAGTTCCAGCCAGTGAAACATGAGCTGAATTGACATATGTCATTCTCCATTTAGGAAGATGAAAGCTGATGTGCCTTCCTTATCTTTCTCCTGGAGGCTTTTTCCCAAATGGATGAAAGCAACCTTAATCATATCAAACTTTGGGTGAGTGTGAAATAAACCTTTAATGTGTCAATCCACTAAGCATTTGAGATTGACTTCTTACTGCAGCACAGCCTAGCCTAGCCTAACCTAACTCATGCAACCAATAAAGATCCCAGAATGTGCTATAACTTTTGGGGCTTGTATATTGGGAGGATCATTACAAACAAACTGGCCTTTCAATAAAGTAAATGAGAAATACAGCTATTCTAGTTAGGTACGAATGTAGTATGGCCATTTTCCTCACCTGTGATGTCAGTGATTATTATAAACATTTGGGATTTCTGTCTTGCAATTTCCTGTTAGGTAGGAAGATTTACCTGCTGGCCCTGGGGGGCCTCTTGGGCCTTGGGTTCCAGTGCCTGGATTTCCTTTTTCTCCCTTGACACCAGTTAGACCTGTTTTAAAAAAGAAAAGAAAACAAAAAGTTCTCATTGAAATGAAATCTGGGTAGTTCTATTTTTCTGGGTTTCAAAACCTCTGATGAGGATAATGATGCAGGTAGGTTTGGGGTTATGGTTACCACGGGACTTTTAAATTAGATTCAGACACTGGTGACTTATGGACAATCCCATAGGAGGCTAGTTGTGCATCTGAGCATGTTGTCTGTATTTGCAGTACCACCAGTTATCTCCTCCTTCCTAACGAAGTGGTTCAGCCTACCAGGTACCGGCCTGTGTCTTTGCACACACCAGGCCTTTCGACGTATGCAGTTGGCACTCTACAAGTAACACAATAGAAATCACAAGTGAACATGCCTAATATTTTCCTTTTGGTCCACCCTGTAATGTATCTGCAAAAGGCATGAATTATAATTAGGCAGCAAAGTTCTGAAGAGCGTGAGTTTCCATTAAAAACTTGGAAGCTTCAAGAAAGCCTGTGTTTGATTTGGCTGATTCAGCCCCATAAAAATCTAAACCTATTCATGTTTCTTTTCCACTGAGCAGACATTTTATTCCAAATAATTTACAGTGCTATTAATAAACTATACATACATTTCACAGGCAAAAAACAAAGAAACATATACTCTGACACCTCACTGTCCAAATGGGTTCTATTATAAGGTCCCTGGACAGGTGAGAGCACACTATGTTGAGGTCCAACCAATCCAGGAGAGGGTTGCATCAGACTGGGATCTGGGTTACCCTGGCTCACATCACAGAAGGTCTCTGGTGTCTGTTATTCATGTGCGACAATGCTTTGAAGTAGCAGAATGCGGAACTGCATCTGTTTGTAATTATGTTTACAGAAAAATTATGTGTGAATTGGCAAAGCCTAGAAGGGAACATAAACAAATGACAATAACCAATTTGATAGGTGGCAGGCATGCAAGTGATTTAAAATGCTTAAAATTACAAATAGTTTTTTCCCTTATTTAGATGCAATGTGATGCATACTCATTATGGACAAGTTAGGAGACATGACAAGCAAGGACTCCAGCCCTTGAAAATAATCACTTTGAACATCTTGGTTTATAACTTCCAAAAAGAAAGGTAGGTATTCCTGTAGTATTTGGTTTGGAAATAGCTGGCAAAAAAAAAAGGACTGTTGAAAAACTGACAGTTTTTTCTACATTGCACACACAGTGTTGAAACTTTGGTGTCTGCTGTGCTCCTGTGACCACCTCTTGGGGTCAAGGTATGCCTGGAATCTTTAAAAAGCCCTTCATCCTTGCTAGTGGTGGCTACTCCACCCACTGCTATACTTCCCCAACATCCCTGCCTGTTGTACATGGCCTTGATAGTGGTTTTTGAGCTCACAGAAGTCCAGTATGGTGGTGGAGGGGGAGCCAGAGCACTCATCACTGAGCAAGTGGCCTCCTGTTGCAGGCCTGATTCTTCTCTTAGGAACTGATAAAATGAGAGTGATTTCTCAAAAGTAAAAATACAGTCGAATCCAAGTTGAAATAGCACACGAATTCCTAGATTAATCAATATTTCATGCTTGATGGCTAATCAAGTTGTTCAGACAGAAAACCACCCTGGTACATTTACTGTGTATTACCCAATTAGCTACTAGTTTAGCTAGTTGTTTAGTAGTTAATTGAGTGAGTACTTGTTAGTTGGTAGATGTTCCCTCACTTTCAAATGAGTATGCCCTAATGGGAATTTAGCAGAAACTGCCTATTCTTTTGTTAGAAGTGGAGTTAATTTCCCCATAGGGAACCACTGATTCTTTCAGAATGAGAACACAATAAAATACACTAATGACTAAGGCCAAGCTGTTCATGATTAACTGTGTGATAACTCAGAAGCCTCCCATGTCCTTGTGGTAACTCAGGGTCCAAAGTTAATAACATGGCTTCTCAATGGTTCTCCACAAGAAATCAAAGGAATCAGGCTGAATCGGACATTCAGAGAAGTATTCTCAAGCAGAAGCCCTGGATAAGAGTTTGATGACTTATCCTTTGCTTATTCATAAAGAAAACAAAAAGTGGGGCAGATTGGAGAATAGAAAGTCTGGTTAACTTTCTAGTTATATAGAGAAAAACAAGTGGCATTTGATATTATCTTTAACACAAGTCAAGGTAAGAGAAGAAAAGCCTCACAGAAATATTCCAGCCCCTCAACATACCTTTAAAAAAAGAAAGACAAATTCTAAAGGTATATTTACATATGTACAGAGAATTTTAGATTATATTATCCTTGAAGTGAAGATATGTTCCAACTACATGTAGGCTAATATATTAATATTCATCCATGTGTTCACTTAGGGGTCTGAGAATGAAGAATATTCACACCCATGACACCTTTTTTGGAGTGAAAGTATGCTAAAAATCAATATTTAAGTACCTAAGAGGAGGATTAAAATTAAAAGCTAAGCTTAGAGACCTCAGATCTCTAAAAGTAGATGTGCATATACTCTTGCTAAGCCTGGTAGACTCTGATTAAGAGGAAGGAAATTAAGTTTTGTAAAACGTCAGCCTGTGACTGTCCATGAGATGTCAGAGGGTAGGGGAGTCTGGGCATAGATATTCTTTAAAGATAAAATGCAATCGTCACCCATAATAAACTTTTCTCTTGTAAATCTCTTCTGTGACACATGGTGGGGTCACATGATGCTGAGATCTAGTCATCAGAGCTAAGTGCCAGCATCCTTTCCACAAAGGCATAGGGAGGATATTCCCTCTTTCTGAACACCCTTCTCACACCAGGTGTTTCCATAAATAGTCCTCAAACTTGAAGCCCTAACTCAAAGCTTCTATACAACCACAACAGGCAGAGGCACAATGACTTCAAGAGGGCAAGGATCATCTGTCTTTTTATTGGTGGCTATATCCCAACACTGCTGTGGCACCTTCACATAGTACTTAACTAACAAATATTTTTGGAGTGAACAATGAATGAGTGAATGAATGAATGAAGTCTTTGCCTCCATACTGTCTGGGCCTCCTTTGGCACTTATCCCATTACATTGCTTGGTCTCGTGTTCCTCTAGCCTGGAGCCACAAGCCTGTTGACTGCAGAGATCTTGTCTTATTTATCGCTCTAGTGTCGGAGCCAAGCAGTCTTGCACATAGTAGGTGGCCCAATAATCCTGGAAGACCAACTGAATGACTGAATGTCTACACCAACATGCAGCTGTTAAAAGCAAGCATAACCTTTAAAGGATCAACAAACAAAATTCCCTAGGCTGAAGCTTCGCTTTTACTTTCACATGCCTGGCTTATGTGAACACTGCTTTTTCTAACAAGTTCCTTGTGTGATTATGTCAACTACTAGTGTCTCTTAAGAGATGGATACAACTGACTCCAATTAAGCTTAGTTTTCTGCCATTTTAAAAATATGAGCAGAGCTGATATGAACATCTAACTTACTAAAAATATGATTTAGCTAAAATTAAAATACCCTTAGTTTTCTGAGGAGTTACCAAAAATACTTAGGATAATCAAAGAGATTATTATTATTCATGCTTTCTTTCCTTTTTTTTTAGATTAATAGGCTTTTTTTTAAGAGCAGTTTTAGGTTCACAGCTCTATTTTGAATAGAAAGTACAGAGACTTCCTACATGTACATGGCCTCACCATCACTAATATCCCACTCTACAGAGGTACCTCTGTCATATTTATTATTTCTTAAGAATCCCATTATAGAAACCATTTCAGGACTATCCAATTCTTCCTTACCACTAACCTAACATTGACCTTCTAATATTTTCTTTTACTGGTCTACAAAGGCAGAGATCTGTTTTAGTTCATTATATTCCTAGAACCAGGCACATATTAGACATTCAGGAAATATCTATTGAGCAAATGGATGAAAGAGTGAGGTGCTAAGTCCGATTGCAGCCTTTGACAAACCAAAAATGTGGCTAGTTAATCAGCTATGCCTATAAACTGGCTCACTAGGTTTTAAATGCTAAGCACTTTATATGTATAAACTCATTCGGTCTTCACAAGACCTGAGAGGGTGGGCACTGTTATCAACCCTAAAATAAGGTTGTGGTACAGAGATATTAGTCCTTAACTAGTAAGTAACAGAGCCAGGATTTCAGCCCAGACCAGATGCTGGCAAAGCCTATACATTTAACCACTGCACTTCCTGCCTCTCCACCCCGAGCTGGACCTGTAGGCTGCACTTCTTGTCTTGTTCATTTGTAGGTTTCCTGAACTGCCTGCTACATCAGTCTGCACATTTCCTCTGGCCCCACACTCAGGAATTAGCCTGCAGTTATCACATTTCCTCAGCTTACTTCTCTTGGTTTGCACACTCGCCCTCTGCTCTGGGCAAGACCTGGAGTTGAATCTTGGACGATTATCTGCTCACACTGATGACATATCCAGGGTCTGGCACTTGGCTGTCTGGTTCCTATTTCCTTTGGCCTGTTGTCCTCTGAGTAGGGAGATTTTACTCATTTCTATGCCCTCTGCCATACCAAGCTCTCCAGGCTGGAGACTTATGCTGCTCCGTGGAGCACAGTCACTCCTTCCTGCTCCCAGACAGTCTGAGCAACTCCCAGAATTTATGTCCAGGCAGACATGCAAGGCCTGAGAAATGCTTTCATTGTAATTGTACCAAAAAGTCACAGAAATTGTGAGACAAGGCTTCAGCTGTGTTATTATATTGTCTGTTGCCTGGGAAATGCCGGCGATGAATTGCAAGTAGTCTGTTTTTCATTCAGTGTATATTTGGATGCCTATGAGTGCAAGGTACTGGACCAGGCACCTAGCTACAAGTACCTAGAACCTAATCCACAAAGCCCACAAGTACCAAGTACCTGATCTACAACAGCAGATTACCTGGACTCAATTAAACAAGTGTTTTACGCACTTTTCCAGGCTCTGCTAAATATACATGTTTGGCCTACAGGATTACTACCAGCATGAGGAGCTCCATGTTTTGTGCTAAGGTGACCAAGATGGAAAAATACATGGTTGTTTTAAATGTAAGCAAACTTT